TATTAGTAGTAGTGTTACAGTACCTCGGGGCTTTCATCATGATCCACCACTAGTTCGTAGAACGTTTTCGTTCGGTCATTGCTTTGAAGGGCGTTTGTTTGAGAGAACCTCGCGGTACATCATAATCGAGCATAGTGTCAAACGAATCGCACATAAAGTTCCGCACAATCTCGCGATACATTCGTGGATCCAGCTGAAACCTCAACGTAGTTAGCTTATTGTTAGTACCTTTGGCGGGTGAATCCTCTACTTAATGAGTTTGTGCAAGGCATTTCGAAAATAGATGTACTAGTCATGACTAGCTTCAGACTAAGGATTGCTACTTGGCGAATTCTGAGGGATTCAAAAAGAACACTCACCATTCTTTTACCTCCTTTTGTGAAAACTGCTATAGATTTGGTATCGTTGAAACCAGGTCTCCACTCACCCAGAGGATCGCTGATTTGCAGATGGACTGCGGAGTTTTTCTGAAAAAAAGGTCATGAAATATGATAAGTGAACTATCTATTTAATTAGAAAAAAGCGACTGCATGACGACACATGATAACAAAATGAAGACAAAATATACATACAGGCATTCCGCAAGCGCCGGCGCACCTTTGCCAAATTTCTGGATCACTTTCAAGGAATCGAGCCTGAAATCAATAGTCCCTCTACTTTACAAGGCTTCTTGGAGAGATACCTAATCCTGAGTCGGATACAGCTATCCCAAATGGAAACTCACAAAGCCGGCATCGTAAACTGATAGATTGGAGTCTGGTTGAATTTCAACCATTTCAGTACAACATCCCATGTAAGATGTGGTATATGGCCTGCTCGAAGGTATATCATACACGACGGTGTTGCATGCTTCAGCATGTGACGGCCTGAGTAAACTGTTCAGTAGTGAAGTAAGTCAATGGTGAACGAATCAACATAGACAGAAGCGCAAAGGGCGCTAAATCCTCTTTTATGGTGTGCCACCCATACCATTTCCATTGAGAACTGAAGCGGAATTTCGAATGCTGCTTGGCCTACAATTGAAGCTTGCGGAGGCGCAGCGAGGCCACAGACCTGCTTTGCACTTGCCGGCTCCCAGCTCTTGCACAACGTCAACCAAGCCCGGTATGAGAGGAATTGGCCTGGAAACTGCTAACTCAAGAGTTGTGATCCCCAAATTGGGGTTCGTGCGAAGCGGCCAACTGCCACTAAGAACACTTTAATCCGAATTTTATACTGAGAAGAAACTGCAACGGTTTCTAGATAAGCATAATCTCTTTCGCCTTATTGAAGTCATGCTCCTTAAACTTCCAAAATATCGAAAGAAACCGACTCATAAATTTGTTGGATTCGGTCCGTTGTGATGCATCTTCCGACTTGCGAATTTATTGTTAGAAACTCATCGAAAACTGAAGAGTGTTCGACCGCACTCGCTGCTGTGGAACCCGCCTTGTGCGTAACGTCTATTACCGAACAAAAGAACTTCCATGAGTCAGATACACAAATCATTACCCCCCCCCTTCCATGCTCCGCGATATAACGCAGGAGGAGGATTTGTTGATCACCGTGTCACATTCGACGCTTCAAGACGTAAAGACAGGAAAGAAACCACTATACGGTCCAGTTACCCCCAGCTTGGACGATGCATCAGGCAGAGCCTCACGCAGTACTTCGGACCAAGGGTTGCTCATCCTTCCCACTGTCCCCATCGGAGAAAAAACAGCAAAAAAAGCGCTATGTGAGCTCCTCTTAAGAAAGATGGTGAAAGACTCACCCCATGATTCGATTATTCCACTTCGCCCGAGAGCACTTTTCTTCTTGAACCACGAAATCAACCATGTTCAAAGCATCACGTACCCTTATCATCACATGTGAGCCATACTACACGAATCACGCTCAGATCACATATCTGTTCAGCACTGTTCAAATATACGCTTCTACACATATATGTTCAACGTTAAGACCAACGGTACGTCTTAATCATTTATCAATTCTGCAACATAACGGCTATCAGAATAAATAATACTTACAATAAAGCCGAATCTTCAAAAAAGTGGTTTTGCTAGAAAAACATAACGCCTACTATGCACAGGTCAATACTTATAAGTACTCACAAAAAAAGATTCATGTGTGGATCTTCATCCATCTGTCTGCCCGCTAACCGCCCTTTTCATGAGGTTAAGTTTCAAAGCCCGAGTAAAACAATTATATCACTAAAGGAATCCAAGCTAATCACAAATCTCGAGATCCATCAGAACAAAAATCACTTTTGGCACCGCATAATCCCGATATTCAGGCTTCAACTCCCACATGCTTTTTTTATGCGGTGGAGCAGTATTGTACACGGCAATTTCTGTCAACAGTTCCTTAACATATCCAGCAGGTTGTTGCGTCAACTGCTGCAGATCTTGTAATCTAAAAAATAAGGAGTATTACTACTGTCACAGTTGTGCTGCGTAAAAATTGGTACTAGTATTGAAAAAAGCCGAAAATAGAGCGGAAAGAAGTAGAAAAACAAAAATACAAATACATGGGACTGGAAAGCGTTTGGCTAACCTGTAGTACTGATGCTTCTCGAAGGCGTGGTAACAAAGCCTGCATGAGTACACATTACGATCTGCGCGTACTGGTCTTTTTGCTCCTTCTTTCTTCTGCTTAATTCTCATCATATCCTCCGCGTGCGCGGCGACAGGTTTGAATTTCACGGCTGCCTGAAAATTTGACACTCACAGAAATACAAGGCTTTGCAGTAAGCACGAGAAGAGGTATTAAATTTGTACCTTCTCCATCTGTAGAACTTGCTTCTTCGGTTGCCCACTACTAGAGATTTGAGCGATTTTCATTTTCAAATAGCTGCTTGACGCTGGAGGGCGACATTCTGCTCTCTTTACAACCCTTCCTTCAATTGAAAGCCGCCCTGGTCTGAAAAATGTATATTTTTCAATAACTGTCATAGTAAGGACCTCTTCTGGAAGACGTTGCACCGAAAGCAAAACTTTGCCGCCAGCAGGGGTCGAACCTGCGACCTTGGGCTTATTAGACCCACGCTCTAACCGACTGAGCTATGGCGGCACGTTGACGGCGGATCCCTTCGCAGGCTGACTCCACTTGACTTCAGCCTCTTCGTTGAGACCTGTCTTATCTTCTGCAAGCACTGCCATGGTCTGGTTGAGGACATCACCGAGAATGAAGGAATGTTCATCAGGAATTTTTGCAGGACCTAAATTATGCTACTGCAGGATTTTAACTTTGTTACTACCACGGAATCAAACCGTATACAGCTCAAAACGAGTGCATCGAATAACCTACCTTTCAAGCTTGAGGAGATGGACGCCGGCAAAACCAGACCTGGACGAGACTTCAATTTGACCTGAAGAAAATGTAAGAATTCGAGATAGATATATAGCGCTAAAACTTTATGATGATTTCTCGAATTTCAAAGGTAGCCTTTCGAGAAGGAATTAGAGCCAAACAGCACACCCCAAATAGGGAAAACACTTCTTGACTCAACCATTCTCCTTTCGGGTTTGTACTGTTTTGTATTACTAGTCGACCCACATCAGTTCCTGCGTTGGCTTCCCATAGATCGGACAGATACCGAGGTACCTAAGCAGTGGGTAAATAAAGCAAATTTTCAACCAGAAACATACAGGCTATGCGCACTGAGCAATGGATAATAAAGCCAACAACACGTATTCGGTCAAGAGCCGACGGCACTTTTAACCAACCACCACACACCACGTTTTTACCCATTTCACAATCGACGGCATGTTCACGCTTCCGAGACATGGCCTACAATTTTGAATACGTATGTCATTACAGAGTAAAAAGCACTTAGTAAGCCATTCAAAAATAACGAAAGACAATAGCACAGAAAAAGGAATTCACAGCAGAGCAGATGCGTTTTCGTACCATTCACACCTCTCAAGAAGAAAAAAAACACGTTTATATTCAATGGCGAATTATCACATATATGGACAATCAGCCGAAAAAAAAGGTAAAACAATAACTACATTTCATTTATCTTCTTTCAGAAAACAATTCATGTAAAGCCTCGAGAAAATCAAGAAAAAAGGAACTGCATAGAAATATAAGCGTGCAAGGCATCATGCGCTAATTTTTTTTCACCTCAAGTTGATATCGAAGGACTAGCAATACATCGTTAACTAAGATATATCTGGGAAATTCAAAAAAATTATACGGGCACAACTGCACCAGAGCTTGCTGAAAAACAGAAACGAAACCATGTTAAACGCGATATTAGAAAAGAGACTAGTCGATTAATAACGTTAACATGGGTGTAGCATCCTACAGAAAACAAAATCGTATCTGTCATATTTGATCTTTCCAAAACAGCGATCTAGGAAACACGCCTTGGCACCGACTTAGTTCAACTTGAGGGCCGTACAGTGGCAAGCGATTACTAAGAGGTTTCCCTCTCATTTAGAAAAAGATGATGGAGTGGAAATTCAAATTGGCCTATTAGGGGCAGAGTGACCGCAAGGAACATATAAAAATAAAATGCTTAATTCGATGAAGTAAAAAACACAAATTGACGCATTTCGATTTTGGAAGGACATAAAGGATTTAGATAATAGCTTTAGTGGTTCTAGTTATTCAGACATATACAAAGTTTAGTGGATTTTATCTGGATGTTTTGTCAAAAATTCACATCAAAAGAAATTCGAAAAAGCCCCATCACAGATGAAAAAATCTCGTCAAGTTCAAGAAACAATCACAATAAAATTGCAGATATGGGAAACAGAGTTGATGTGTGGTAACCGTTAGGAATACCGTTAACTGTAAAAAAAATATAAAGCGGAAAAACACACCTGTCACCTTAGTTGGGATAGAAAAAACCTTTCAGGAAAAATAACCTTCATTGTTGCTTATGGCAAGAGAGCTGTGGAGCGATTTCTCATTTATGATCTCATTCAGTTTAACGGTATCCAAATTGGCCCACTCTGGAGGAGATGGCAGCGTGAATCCTGACATCGCTTCTCGGATAGCTTGAATCTTTTCTGAACGAATAGAAATGACATTGGATTCAGTAAAGCACACAAACAGTGAGCCTACCGTCATCAAGGATGATACTATTTGGCTGGTGCGGTATCACTTCCTCTTGGGAAATACCGGATGCGGCAGATTTCTCTTGCAAAAGCTGAAAAACGCACCGTTGGAATGATAGCTTTCTTTTAAAATATTCAAGCGGGAAACAATGACCACCTTTTCGAATTCCTTCCTGATTGGATAACTGAACTCCACCCTCGATGGCGGGCGCTTCTTCAGTATCGCCAACGCTGACACCCTCAGAGCTCGTCGATTCGTTCTGTAAAGCTAACCTTATGCAGAGGTGAAGTCAAGAAGATCAAAAGTGAGAGGTCGGTGAGGAAAAAGCGTTCGCAGTGATGAAACCTAATATCACTATTGCAACCTGTGAGAAAAAGAAATGCTCAAGACTGGAGCAGAATAATTAGATAATCAATAAAGCAACGATAACAGAATTCATCAAAGTGCGAAAACGTAAAAATAAGGATCTTAAAAATCGAGTACTGCATACTAAGGGCTGAATGAATTGACCAAACCGATGGATGGAAATTGAAAATTCGATATGTCTGAAAAACCAGTGGAGAGGCGAAGGATACCGCGTAACTACAAAATATCGTACCTGGTCTATCCCTTCGTCACAGCTTGTGACGTTTTCCGAAACACGTTCTTCCATCTGGAATGGGAGCGTGCGGTAGCCTGGATAACAGGGAGCCTCATCATCGTCCAAATCGAGGTCATCATCAGTCTCTGGGTCAGTGTCTGGGAAGCCTGAACAAGAACAATAGAGAGTACAAAAAACTCTCACACACTAAAACAATGAAGCTTAACAAACCTGATCCGTCGTCGCTGGCTCGATCGTCCACGATTCCAACTCCATTCATTTCGATCTCGTAACCAACCCTCCATCCGTCGACTTCATATGCTCGAACTAGAAGAGTTTCATAAATTTGTTCATCTTGGTCAACGCCCTTTATTTCAGGGTTTTCCGGAAATTCCATGATGACATTCTATGAAGAAAATACGCGTAAAATCCAGTCGCAGAAGACGTTGAAGAAACAGCTTTGAAGAACTCACAATCGTCATTATTGTCTTCGCCATTGTTGTCGAGATGAGATTCCCTTCGTGGAGTCATGATTAATTACAGTAGGACAATTCTGAAACCTCGAAAAGCTTCATTAGAGTTTCATCTTTTTATAAACCAAAAACGGGATCGCAACATATGCAATTAAAGAAATATCAAGTAACAAGACAAGCAAACGGAATTTCTTGGCTAATTGAGCCTCAAACTGTACCGATGCCTGCTATGAAATTATTTGATGCACCAGCTCGAGCATTGCCAGTCGTCGAGGTTTCACACGACTTGTCGAGATTAAGCCGTCGTTTTCGTAATACCAAAACCTCTATGGCTTTGAATGGTAGATTCAGAAAGGGATACAGCAATAGAAATGTTGACAATAACGTTTGAAAAAATCAAAAGATGAGCTTATTCTATATGTATCTCACTTAGAAGCAGAACAATAAATGCGACATTTTGGTCTTTGTCACAACATCATATGAGCGATTTCCATTCCGACATCAAAAACTAGGGCCTCAGCTTACGCGCACAGCGATCCTTTCTCAAGGGATTTACCACTGGGATCTAGTCACGACAAAGTTTGATGGAAAAAATGTAAATGAACTTAGGTTGGAAGTAAACAGCGAAATATTTCGGCACATTCGACACTAAAAACGCTAAATTAGTCGACTGGTCCGAGAA